TGTAGTAAGGTAAGAAGGTGTTCACTGTATTTGGTGACTGTCCATACTGTAGTAAGGTAAGAAGGTGTGTTCACTGTATTTGGTGACTGTCCATAATGTAGTAAGGTAAGAAGGTGTTCGTCGTATTTGACAGTGTGTGCCTAGCTGCTTCTAATGAGTTTTAGAAGACAGATATATATATAGCATATCAACTTATCTAAAACTTTTAAAATTTCTATTATTCTGTGTGTTTAAAAGGTAGTAAGAAAAAAAGTTTCCATAAGATATATTGTCTTTATCAATAACATTATAATTTTCAAATTGCCCCTTTGATTAAAAAAAGGTCAGCCATTTTCCCAGGTATCCTAGCTGAGCTGAAACTCACACAAGCATTTTCCAAACTGTAACATGCCACTTTTTCTAGTATAAAGCAATTTTATTTTTAGAGTGTCCAAAAATTTGCTTTGTTAAAATGAATTCTCTCTTTTTATAAGCCAATGACGCTGAAAATGTCTGGAAGGAAGCCCTGAAATAAGAAGGCAACATTTGTGTGAAGAAAATGGAATCTTTGAAAATTACCAAAAGGATTTTATTGCATATCTTCAGAGAAAATATAAAGCAAGAAATATTAACATCAAAAGGAAAAGTATGAGTAAGCTGTAAAAGTACACACTTGTCTTCATCTCTTCACTGAGAGTAAACTGGGAAATTGTAGGCCAACATCCTAGAGAACTTTCTAACTCTGTGACCCTCGTACCAACCGTGGAGGTGTCATACGTATACCAGTTTGCAGATGCTGATTTGTTGTTTATATCTGGAGTGGTAAAATCTTGATGGTATTTGTAGAATGAATTTAGGGGTTGTATACAGCTAGATTTTTGCAAGGAACTTTTTACTTCATTCCAGTGTTCTTGAGGCTCGTGATATTTTTGTCTTCTCCTTGTACTTCCCTATGGAAGAATACATGTATAGTTAGTTAGGTTGAGTTATCCAAGTACTTATTTTTATGTACTCTATAAAAATGCTAAATAAAACTTGTTATACAGCATGATCAAGGTTTTCTGCATTTTTATTTTTCCTGGTAAGTTTTTTTTTTGGTAGAAATCCTGAATTTTAGAGTTCTATACTTACTGGCATCCAACAACCAAACCTGGTTGATTTTATTGGTTTCTTTTAAACCATGTGAGCTAGGTCATCTCTTAAATAATTTATAATGTGAATAAAATTTTAAAGATAAAAACGATATACATCTATCTGCATATTTTAAAAAGTGTTTCTTTTAGTTAAGTTTACATTATGTACATATATCTAAGATGTATTTTTTTAATCTGAAAATAGGATAGAATATTAAAACTGACTTTTCTTGGCAAGATAAAAAACCAGGCTTAATCTTATGAGAGTAAGTTAGTCATATATATAGAAAGCTTTTGGTGATTTATAATTAGTATGGTGATTGTAAAATTTTGCATACCTTGGAAACTCAAACTGTTTCTGCTATATGTTTGCGTATAGGACGAGGCTGACACAGCCCGAGGGACTGCCCTGGGGCAGCGGGGATATTGTGACATACCTTGTGGAAAGCTATAGGTACAGATCAATCACTATAAAACGAAACCCAATGCTGTTGAGTTGATTCCGACTCACAGTGACCCTATAGGACAGAGTAGAACTGCCCAATAGGGTTTCCAAGGAGCGTCTGGTGGATTCGAACTGCTGACATTTTGGTTAGCAGCTGAACTCTGAACCACTGCGCCACCGGGGTTTCCACCAATCAGTATAGACATTGACATAAAACAGGTTACTCGAAATTGCCAAAAAAGTGGAAACAACCAAGATGTGAAGATGAAGGGATAAAGTGCTACATCCATACTGTGGCGACTATTCAGCAATAGGAAGAAATGAGCCATCAGGCCATGAAAAGACGTGTATCCGCTACGTGAGAGAAGCCAGTCTGGAAAAGCTCTGTACTCTGATTCCAGATGTATGACACTGTGGGCAAAGCAGCACCACAGAGACAGTGTAACGATCAGTGGTTGTCAGGGGTCGGGGAAAGGGATGGGCAGGTCGAGCAGAGGGCGTTTTTAGAGCAGTGAAACCATCATGTATGACGCTGTGACGGTGGCTACGTGACATTATGCGTTTGTCAGAACCCACGGGGCTGTACAACACGAGGAGGGGACTCTAATGGAAACTATAAAACCAAACCAGCGGCTGCCAGGTCAGTGCTGACTCGCGGTGACCCCATGCGTGTTAAAGGAGAACTGTGCTCCAAAGCGTTTTCAGTGGCTGGTGTTTTCGAAGTAGACTGTTAAGCCTTTCTTCTGAGGCACCTCTGGGTGGACTTGAACCTCCAGCTGCTCAGTTAGCAGCAAGCGCTTTAACCATTTGCACCACCAGGGACTTCAGTGTAAACCGTGGACTTTAGTTAATGTGTCAGTTCGTTCGTCAATAGGACATGCGCCACACGTAATGCAGGATGTTGATAATAGGAGAAATTGTGTGCGGAGGGAAGACAGGTATATGGGATCTCTGTATTTTCTGCCCAATTTTTATGTAAACCTAAAAATCTTTTCTTTTTTTTAAAATTACTACAACTGTGAGAAGCAGGAAAATGTTACCTAGAACCAGGAGACAAATATTCTATCCATGACCAATAGAAACAGACTCAGTGCACACCCAGGTCATATATTAACAGATAAGGACTATAAAACATTTATGTAAATTTGTTCAAGGACTTAAAGGACAAGTTGAACATAATTAGTGAGCAGATAGGAGACTATCAGCAGAGAAATGAGAAATTCACTGGATAGAATGTATAGGTGATTTAACACCATTGAAAAAGATCCCTCAACCAACTTGAGGTCAGGCAAACGAAAATATCCCAACTGAAACACAACAAGATAAAAGACTGATTTTAAAAACGAACAGAGCCTCAGTTACTGAAAAACAAGATAAAGCATCCTAACATACATGTCTGTGGAGTCTCAGGAGAAGAGGGAAGGATTAACAGACGGAACAAATTGAGAAGACGGAGTCAGTGCATTCTGCCTTATCTTCCTGCTAACCACAACTAAAAACTCAACAGAAGCAACTGTCAGCACGCTCTGAGAGTTGAAGTAAAGGAGGCAGACTGGCTGGGGTCATCAGGACTGAGGGGTGATCTAGCTGTGGGACCACCCCCCCCTTTTTTTCTGGTGCCTCCTATGTCTCCTGGCCTGGGTCCTAGGTAGCCTACAGTCTGGAAACACCAATATGCACAGATAAAAGGTCTGACAGAAGCCTCCTTTCTTTAACCAAAGGACCAAGGCGAAGGCAGCGCTACAGACAGAACCCTTGACTATGCATGCTGTACTCCAGATGCCGTGGGAATTGTAGAGCAAAGCCCTGTCAACCAGCACCACCCTGCACTAACCAAGCAGCACTCCTCCACCTTCCTCCTGGGCTCCATGGAGACCGGGACAGAGTCCTGCTGACCATATCCACAGTACCAAGGTGGCACCACACCCCACCGAGTGTTGTGGAGGCTGTGAGACAGAGCTCTGTCAACCATTCCACCCTACACTATTGAGGCAGTGCCTCTTTTACTCCCCACTATAGAGATGACGGGGCAGAGCTGTGCCTCTCCTCCACAGCAAACACTGGAGACTGTACCGTAGAGCCCTATTAACCGTTCCCACTTTGTAGTAAACACTGGCAAAGAGAATGCTCCACTTCCTCAATGGCTGTAGAGAATGTGGGGAGAATCCCTGTCGACAGCCCTTGTTGTGCAATAAGTGAGTGACGAAACAGCAAAGCACCCTACACCCTCCCAACTAGAAAACCCTGCTCTCAGTTATCACGTATCACTACTAGACAGAAAATCAGCAGAGATGTGAAGAACTGAGTAACAGCAGAAACCAGTGGGACATAACTGATACTTACTTACACAGTACTGCACCCCAAAGTAGGAGAATACATGTTCTTTTCATGTGCAATGGGGATATTTGCCAAGAGAGACCAAATCCTGGGGGCATAAAACAAACCTTCACAAATATAAAACAATTAAAATTGTACAAAGTATGTTCTCAGACCATAATAAAGTAGAAATCAGTAACAGGAAGGTAACAGAAATGTCTTCAAACTCTTGAAAATTAAACAGTATATTTCTAAGTGAACCAGGTGTCAAAAAAAAAAAAAAACTCAAGGAAAAGTGTAAAATACTTTGAACTGAGTGAAATGAAAATACAACATATCAAAATTTATGGGATGCAGTCAAAATAGGGTAGGAAGCACATTGCCATCAAGTCGATTTTAACTCATAGTGACCCTGTAGGACAGAGTAAAACTGCCCACAGGGTTTCCAAGGCTGTGAGTCTTTACAGAAGCAGACCTGCCACATCCTTCTCCCACGTAGCAGCTGGGAGGTTCAAACTGCCAGCCTTTAGGTTAGCAGCGGAACACTTAACCACTGCACCCCTAGGGCTCCTTAAATGCTTATGTTAGAAAAGAAGAAGGGTTCAAATCAATAGCTTAAGGTTCTGCCTAAACTAGAAAGAGAAGAAAATAAACCCAAATCATACTGAAGGAAGGAAACCATAGGAAAATCTCCAAATACTGGAAAATCTAACAGCACACTTCTGAATGGATCAAAGAGGAAGTCTCAAGGGCAAATAAAACAATTTATTGAAATGAATGAAAATGAAATACAACATATTAAAATATGGGATATGGCTAATACGGTGCTTAGAGGGACATCTATAATACAAAATACTTACTATTTAGAAAAGAAAAAAGTCTGAAATCAGTAATCTAAATTTCTACCTCCAGAACTAGAAAAAGAGAAAAGTAAATCCAAAGCAAGAAGAAAGATAGAAATAAAGTGCAGAAATCAATGTAATTGACAATGTGAAAGTAGAGAAATATCAGCCTAACAAAAAACTTTGTTCTGTGAAAGGACCAATAAAATTGAAAAACCTCTAGCAAGACAAAAAAGAGGAAACACAAACTATCAGTATAGGAATGAAACAGATACCTCACTACAGATCCTACAGACATTTAAGGGTTTAAATAAGAGAATACTATGCACAATTCTCAGCCCATAAATTTGACAACTTAGATGAAATGGACCAATTTCTAGAAGCCTACAAATTACCAAAACTAACTCAAGTTGAAAGAGATCAGGGGTTAGTAAAGTGTTCTGCAGGCCAAATCCAGCCCACCACCTGTTTTTGTACAGCCCACCACCTAAGAATGGTTTCTATTCTTTTAAAAGGTGAGAAAAAAATTAAATAGTTCATGACACTTGAAAATTATGTGAAATTCAAATTTTAGTGCCATAAATAAAGTTTTGTTGGAACTCAGCCAGACTTATTTGTTTATGGATGGCTGCTATCTTGCTACGATGCAGAGTTGAATAGTTGTGACAGACACTGTATGGCCTGCAAAGCCTAAATATTACTGTCTGGCCCTTAACAGAAAAGTATGTCCACTCCTGAAATAGATAATCTGAACAGCCTTAGTAAAGAAACTGACTTCACAGTTAAAAACCTTCTAGGGAAAAAAAGAAAAATATGCAGGTCCAGATGTTTCACTGGTGAGTCCTACTAATATTTAATGTAGAAATAATACCAATTCTACACATTATCCTTCAGAAATTAAAAGGGGAAGGAAGACTTCCCAAGTCATTATATGAGGTCAGCATTACCCCGATATCAAAACCAGACAAAGACAGTGGAAAAAAAAGATGGACTAATAGCCCTCATGAACACAAATGTGAAAGTCCTCAACAAAACACTAACAAATTGAATTCAGCAATGTATAAAAACAAAAATATGCCATGACCAAGTAGAGTTGATTTAAGCAATGTAAGACTATTTCAATATTGAAAAATTAATGTCATCCACTGTCATGGATTGAATTGTGTCCCCCCAAAATATATGTCAACTTGATTAGGCCATGATTCCCAGTATTG